TGTTATATTTCAATTTCACAAAGAAATGTGCAGCATTTTGTCCAAGCAATAATAAAAGGACACATTTAATTTATAATTAGTCTTAAATCTAATTTTGTTAAAAAAAATAAAAATAATCGTGAATCGAATCGAATCGTGAAAGCAAAATCGTGAATCGAATTGAACCGTGAGTTGAGTGAATCGTTACATCCCTATTGACGAAAGAATTTAGTGTGATTTTTATTGATACTATATGTAACTCTTTCTTTCCTGTTTAAATTGAATAATAACAATAATTATGATACAAATGTAAACCTATTTAATAAATATATATGTTTATAAATAACAATATGAGGTATTGCTCTATCCTTGAAACATTCTCCTTTCCTTTTCACCTTTTAGGTATAAGATGATCTCCGAGTTCACCTGGCCCAACCATGACCTGCCGTCTGATAAGGAGGCGGTGAAACGTCTGTTGCAGGGTTGTGGGTTCGAACACGACGTGGCCTACGGCAAGACCAAAGTGTTTATTCGCACCCCTCGAACCATCTTCAGCCTGGAGGAGCAGAGGGCAGAGATGGTGAAGAGGATCGTCCTCTTTCTGCAGAAGGTTCGAGCTCAACACCTCAGACATGTTATGTGTAGCTTAGGCTTGCTGTGAACTTATATAAATATATACAGTGGCTATTTGGATACATGAATGTCCTTGCATGATATAACAAATAGATCAGACCATTGTCATTTATTTTATGAGAAAATATATAATACTTTCAAAGCAAAATATTTTACAAAAAAAGGTATTTGTATTTAGAAATCATACATCTTTTAATTGACAAAAATGCTCAAAAAAGTAAAGTTAGTTCTGAAAAAGCTTTACTATCACTAATATGTTGTTATCTAATACAGTGACATTCAGACAAATATACTTTTTGGGCACCATATAAATAGATACAGGACTCCAGACTGCGACTAAAACGGTCGCATTTGCGACCAAAAATATAAATTTGCCAGTGAAGTGTTTGCTGAGGTCGCCATTGGCGAATATATATATTTACATGTTATGACTTAAAGATTTGCATGTAAGGCCTTTTTTCCTGATTGTTTTGTGATCGCATCATTTGCTATGTTCACGTATTAAACTGAGACGATGCGCATCAGAGTTTTAGTGGAAAAAAGAGTTTCAAACAGTCATCTCTGCAGCACAGCAGCGCTGATGCACACCTGCTAAACGCAGCTCAGTTGTGCAGCGCGAGAGAGATCAACTTGACGGAGACGTGCAAGTAAAAGTGTGGAAAAGCAGAGTCTATTTCGTGCACAACTTGAACAAACTACAACAGGTAAAGCTGTCAGCTGTGTGGATATTGGCAATATCGTTAACAATTCTCGTTTATAATCATTACTAATATGGCTTCTTATCAAGATCTTAGTCTATATGCTGTGTTCTGTTAATGTGTGAACTTCATATTATTTGAAGCACGCTTACCATCCATTAATCTTAATTACTTTTTAATAAACAAAGTATCAGCTTTAAAATTATGCCAAATTCATAACGAAATTCAAACAATAAATACGGTTTTGGTGCTCTTTAATGCAGCAGGCGCGATCGCTTTAGCGCCTCAGTTCAAGCAGCAAGTGAACCCATTTAATCTTTCTCTGTACTACTATAGTACATAATGAACATGAATTAACATCAAAACGTAGCCTATTTCATAAGAAAGCCTACAGTACGACTTACTGAAATGTCTCATGTAAAAGCTCATTCAGTGTTTCAAACTGCGGAAAACATGTAAAACTTGTAAATATTGCAACGTAATAACGTAATATACATTTACCTCAGAATAACCCTTCGGTGTCCATAAGCTCATCAGTCAGCTAGAAAAATAACTATAAAGAAGAGCATTTTGCTATATTTATGCGCTATTGGATGTTAATATTTTTACTTAACCTGTTGTCTACATGAT